GTTTGCGAAGAAATTAAAAGGCAACAAGTTGCAAACTGGAATATCCACCAGGAGGCACACAGGGAGTGCAGCAGGGGACCCACTGATGGGCTGAATCCCTCGCAGCTATGTCATGCAGCGGCGGCAGAAAAATCGGCAAAACGCGTCGGTAGGGTTTCCATGTAGGGTCTTCGAAAGGACCTTACGTATCATAGCCGCCTACTTACAAATTTTAGGTAGGTTGAATTACCCAAAATCTTCCAGTTTTCTCGACGCCGACCGTTGACCCAGTAGGGATTGGATGATGGCACTGAACTGCAGAAGAGACCTCCGAAGGTCACCGCATAACATAACCGCTTGAGTCAGTGTATTAAGCAAAATTGCGTTTCAAATTAACTTCGGAAATAATCGCAATCTAATTTGTTCCCTGACATGCCCCGCCCGTCTTCTTCCCTAAAATGAGGCACCCGTGAGCCTGAGGGGCGCGCTTCACACGCTCCCCAGGCGGCCCCCCAAGGAATCCCTACCAACGCATCTCCCTGGGCTTTAAGCTAGTGCCTGTGTTGTCAGCATCGTAAAGTACAGCCTGTAACTGTGCTGTCAGTATAACAAATGATTACACAAACTTTACTACTGACTGCTTGTTAGTAGCCTGTAAGTATTTCGTGGTTATCCCACAGTAGGCGGGGTACTTCGAGCCGAATATTTGCATCAAATTTCGGTCTGCGCCTATAACGCTTTGAACGCAATCATCTACTTCAAGTTAGAAATGAATTTCTGGGGAAATTAAAAAGCTACAATTTGCAAACTGTACTACCCAAATGCACAAGGGTCATGCTCGGGGCCCCACCGATGAGTCAAACGCCTCACAGCTGTGCCTTGCAGCGGCAACGAAACACGCCCGGCTGAGCTTTAAGCTAGTAACTATGCTGTCAGTATGGCAAATGGTGACGATTACATTTAGGATCCAATACAGCTTATTTTTCGCATAACTGTCTACTTATTTCGTAGCAGTAGGCCAGCTTTATTTCACTTATTTGGCATCGGCTGTTTTCCAAGTATGACGCAGCCTTTTTCGTTCAGTTTATTAGTTTATCCCCTATTACCACCGGTCCCAGGCTACAGAAGGAGAGGGTTTTCGCGGGCTGTAGTGGACCCCAAATGTTAATTTTTACCTTGTAAATAATTAAATGTGTGCGTCTACGTGTTCTGCACGACCTTACGCGACTGCAAAGACCCATTTTGGACAAGGGCCAGGATGTTGACTACGTACCTTTGAACGCAGTAGGGACAGCAGATTGGAGGGCGCAGAGAGACCCTGGCAGGTGGAGGGACGAGGGCAGGTTCTGCAGTAGTCCGTCGGTTCACCCATGTAGAAGCCATTAGTTGAGGGTGGCAAGGAGTTGGAGGTGGTGGTGATGATGGAAGACGGTGTACCTGCGGCCAGACCAAGTTCTTGGCCGGCCCAATTTGAGCGCAACAGCAGCGAACTAACCAGTTGGTAGCAGGCGATTCGCAGGAAGCGCAAATGACCGCCCAACAGGGCGTTATCCACGGAGGGGTAGAATTTCTCGTCCCAGCTCGGTGACGCGGCATTGGTTGATGCGAAGTTGCGGAACCACTGAATTTCATGCTTAACAGGGATGGAGAAGAGGGCGGGGCGGAGTGTAAATAGGCTGGAGATTAGAGCATGTTCAACGCCGATCAAAGTAAATATTATCCGCTCAAAATATGGGTCACGGTCTAATTCAACG